TAGTACCCTTGATGTTGATAGGGGTGGGGGTGGGGAGTGATCTTCTTCCTGTAGTCCACCTGTAGCTCTTTAGTTTTTCCAATGTTGAGTTGCAGGTGGTTCTGTCCACACCACTCCACAAAGCTGTCCACCACACCTCTGTATTCAGCTTCCTAGTCACTGGTGATGCAGCCCACAATGGCAGTCATCTGAGAACTTCTGAGAAAAAAAATGGCATCAAAGCAGAGGAAATCTAAAATTATGCCCTTGTCTCCTCAATGGCCTATTTATAATGCTAAAGCCTCAGACTGCCATGTTGAAGACGCTGATGAGACAGCAGTCTTGGCACTCCCTCTGCCGTGTTCTGTGGGGAGGGACCATTCAGTCTCTCATTCTCACCTAGGAATAATTTAGAGTTACCAATCAACCTAATATGCATGTTTGTGGTTTGTGGGAGGAAACCGGAAGGCCTAGAGAAAACCAATGCAGCATGGAGAGAACATGTAAACCACCCAGAAAGGTCCTAGGGCTGGGATTTGAACCAGTAACCTCACTGAGAGGAAACAGCTCTGAAACTGATCCTGGCAGCCCGGTGGCTCAGTTGGTAGTTATTATCAAATCCAGATTGGTTCAACTTAAGTAAATTTGATATTTGTGTTGGTTAATTTTGATCAATTGTGTGGGGGAGTGGTGGTGCAGAGGTTAGAGAAGGTGGGCCTGTGATCGGAAGGTCGCAGGTTCAACTCCCTGTACCGACAACATCAAAATGTGGGTGGGATAGGTGAATCACCCACACCTACCTCCACCCTCATTTGCCCCACTCTGGGCCCTTGAGGAAGGCCCTTAACCCCCACCATCTGCTCCCCTTGGTGCCCTAAAATGGCAGCTCTCTGCTCCACACAGAGGATTGTGGTAGCTTGGTGGTCTGTGGTTGTGTCAGGAATGGCATCCGACGTAAAAACAACTGCCAAGTCTTTGTTCAAGATAGTTTGCTGTGGCGACCCCTGAAGAAGGGAGCAGCCGAAAGACAGAAAAAAAAATATATCAGTTGTGTGGACCACATATTGAAGGGATTTGGTCTCAAAAGTTCATCAATTGTAAATGTGCATTCATTAATATGGTGTGTGTAGAATTTACATGTTCCTTAATTTGGATGTGGTTGTAACTGGATGTCATCCCTGAAATATAATGTTAATACTATGAGCCGGAGATTTTTCAAAATATGCAAAGTTTGTTAAGGTAATTTATAAGGTTCGACCAAGAACTACAACTTAATAATTTCTCAACATAACACACTTAGTTTAAAATTCTGGTATGAAAGGTGGTGGTGAAATGGATTTCCTTAAGGAATAATTGGCTTTTATTTGTAAGAATCTTTTGACCTTAGATTTTCATGAGTCATATAAAAGCTTGTAAAAACTAACCTTTTTACACATTCTGACAAAAACTCTTAAGCATTTGTGTCAGAAATGCAAAAAACTGAAACCTACAAAAAAGGCCTAAAATAAAACCAGAGTGCCCACTGCTGTGCACACTAATATTTGTGAGGATGACTGTGATTAAGCTGGAGCCAGATTTTAAAATTAATCTGATTAGGTAAATGAAAGTTCTGACTTCAGGCTAGGAAAACTTCTTAGTTACGTCAGACCCTCTGGACAGATTCAGACAATTTAATACGTCCAGAGGGTCTGACTTAACTTTGTTAGATTTTTCTACCTGGATTATTTAATATGCATCTGGATTTCTTTGTTAAATGTTTAAATACACAAGTTTAAATATTTTCAACAACATGGTGACTATGATGGCTGGGTGTTCAGCATGCATACACTCATAGTTACAAGGATGTCATCCATCTATCCATCCATCCATCCATCCATCCATCATCTTCTGCTTTTTACAAAGTTGGATCACAGGGCAGCAGCTTGAGCAGGGAGGTCCAGACATCTATTTCAACAGCCACCTCTTCCAGCTTTTCTGGGAGAACCTCAAGGCGTTCCCAGGTCAACCGAGAAACATTCTCTCCAGTGTGTCCTGGGTCTTTCCCGGGATCTCCTCCCAGTCTCATATGCCTGAAGTACCTCTCTAAAGAGGTGCCCAGGGAGCATCCTTACCAAATGCCAGAACCACCTCAACTGGCTCCTTTCAGTGTGGAGGAGCAGTGGTTCTACTCTGAGTCTCTTACGGATAACTGACCTTCTCACCCTATCTATAAGGGAGAGTCCAGATACCCTGCAGAGAAAACTCATTTCAACTTCATGTATCCGCAATATTGTTCTTTCGGTCACTACCCAGAGTTCATGACCATCATGACCATAGGTGATGATATGAACATAGACTGACTGGTAAACAGAAAGCATTGCCTTACAACTCAGCTCCCTCTTCACCACAACGGACCGCATGCAAACCGCATCACTGCCGACCCTGCAAAAACCCATTTTTAAATATCATGCTCCATTCTTCCCTCACTCATGAACAAAACCCTGAGATAATTGAACTCCTTCACTTGAGGCAGAACCTCACCCTTGACCTGAAGAGAGCAATCCACCCTTTTCCAAATGAAAACCATGGCCTTAGATTTAGAGGGGCTGATTCTCATCTCAGCCACTTCACACTCCTCTGCAAACTGCTCCAGTGAGAGCTGAAAATCATGGCACTATGATGCCAACAGGACTACATCATCCGCAAATAGCAAATATGGAATTCTGAGGCCACTGGACTGGATTTGCTAGCCCCCCTGGCTGCACTGATGATAGGGAATATTTGTTTAAAGGTTATGGATGTTTTATTACTATGACTGCAAATCTTATCTCTGCCTATTAATCATACTGTATGCTTGAGTTAATGGAGAGAGCTGGATAAGCTGGGTGCAGCATGCAGCTGCAACCTAGGACACCTCCAAGTTCTATGAATTTGGCTGAACTGATAAGGATCTAAAAGCAAGCTTAGAGGGCAGCTTGAAGCAAATTCTTGTGACTGGTTTTCATGTGTGTACTTCATATATATTTATGTAACTTGTCCTGACAATCTGACCTAGCAAGTAAAATCCTGGCTAAAGATGTTCTCCTGCCATCGAGTGTGGTTCTTTTTGAGTAAGATAAGCGAGAATATTTTTCTCGAGCAAGATATTTGGTCCACAAAAGTTATAAACAGAGTCTGTGACAATGGGCAGCACTGGCAGAGTCCTACTCCCACCCTGAAGGGGCTTGATTTTCTGTTTGCAATGTGAACCAAACTCCTGCACCACTTGTATACGGACCGACCAGCCCATAGCAGTGGATTCCCAATCCCATACACGCACAGCACCTCCCACAGTATACCTCAAGGAACACAGTCCAATGCCTTCTACAAGTCCACAAAACACACGTAGAATGGAAGGGCAAACTCTCATGGCCCATCAAGGACCCCAGTGAGGGTAAAGAACTGTTCCAGTGTTCCACAACCAGGACTAAACCTGCATTGTTACTTCTGGATCTGACATTTGGCCAACAATCTGACTTGCTTCTCCAGTACTCCTGAATAGACCTTACAAGGGAAGCTGAGAGTGATGACCCTATAATTGGAACACATCCTATGGTCCCCCTTTTTAAAAGGGGAACCCCCACCCCCCCACCCCAGTCTGATAATTCATTGGCACTGCCCTCGATGTCCACACAATGTTACAAAGGCAGGTCAACCAAGACAGCCCCACAACATCCAGAACCTTAAGGAGCCCTGCCACAGTAGAGCTTTATAAACACCTTGTCAACCTCCGCCACATTTATGGACAGACAGACCCCAAAGCTCCCTGAATCAGCTTTTTCCATGGAAGACATGCCGATGGAATTGAGAAGTTCTGAGAAGTATTCTTTCCACCTCCTGATGACATCACTGGTTGAGATCAATAGCACCCCACCTTCACTGAACAGTGTTAGAAACACGCTGCTGTCCCGTCCTCAGCCACCTGGTGGTTTGCCAGAATCTCCTCGGAGCTGATCGAGAGTCTCTATCCAAGGTCTTACCAAACTCCTCCCACACCAGAGATGCTGCCCACTTGGCTCTCGGTACTCCTCAGCATTCACAGTCCTACCAGCTAACAAAGCCAGATGGGACTCCTTCTTCAGTTTGACAGCCTCCTTAGTTCAGTCCACCCCCGAGTTCAAGGATGGCCAATGCAAGAAGCATCAACAACCTTGTGGCCGCAGCTCAACTACCTGATAAATTGAGGTGTAGAACATGGCTCACTGAGACTTACTGTTCCCCGCCTCAACTGGGATGCGATTAAAACTCTCCCAAAGGTGTGAGTTGAAGATCTTTCTTACAGGGTCTTCTAGCAGGAGTTGCCAGCAAACCCTCACTACACATTTGTGTCTACCGGGTTTGTTTGGCATCTTTCTGATCCAACTTACTACCAGGTGGTGATCAGTTGACAGCTCAGCTCCTCAATAAGGTTGTTTTATGAGGATAAACATGAATAAGGATTTTATACAGTTAAGAAAATAATTTTTAGAAGCTAATGCAACATTCTTTAACATCAATATGTTGTTTCTGAAAAACAGTTATTTTGTAAGCTTGAAAAATAACAAAAATGTGGTACTTGTTTGTCTAGCTGCTAGCCTACCCTGGATGAAGACTTTTGCCTCTTTATCTTCTGTGCTCGATGACTGATGTCAGTGCCGATAACTAACTGGACATCACTTCAGAGATGACCATTGACCTTGGCTCTGTTTACTCTTCTGCTACAGTTTATAGATCAAAATGCCAGTTTTTCAACCTAAATTACAAAAAGAATTGAAACTGAATTTTGAAGTCTGAATCTAAACACTTGCAAGAAATCAAAGTTTCTAGTAGATTTATTGAATTCTCTTTGTCACATTTAGAAATTCCTCACAAGCAACAGTTCTGTACGCATCACTGGACAGTAATAGATGTAGTCAGCAGCTTCTTTTTTAAAGAAATGTGTATATCTGGTAAAGATTGAATGCTTTGCTTTCTGAGAAACAAACTAATGCCCACCTAAAACATAAAATTTAAAGGAGTCTTACCAGTTAGAAGTACAACTATTCTCATGCTGGGCTCCTGTTAAATCTGAAATATATGAGCGAGCAAAACAGCAGTCAGCAGACAAAAACATGATTGAATTGATTGCTGAATTGTTTTCTGATGTGCAACTTACCTTACTGCTTTAAAGATCTTGTGTTTACCATATGAAAGCAGGAGCTCCTTTATAAATGCTGGCTGACCTGGAATGGGTGATGAAGTGTGTGTCAGAGTCACACCCGGTACCACCACTCCCTTAACTTCTGAATCATTGCACACACTGACACACACAGAATCTGTGACAAGTCTAGACCAGACATGCTGCAAAAAAACTGACAAAGCAATAACAACCTTAAAGGAAAGAAAATACAGTAGTCCTTTGTTTATAGTGGGGGTTCTGTTCCCAGCACCCCCCCACACACACACACACACACACACACACATAATAAGTGAAAAACTGTGAAGAAGTAGTAGCAGTGGTAGTAAATAGTAATTTTTATATACAAACCGGATTCCAAAAAAGTTGTGACACTAAACAAATTGTGAATAAAAACTGAATGCAATGATGTGGAGGTGCCAACATCTAATATTTTATTCAGAATAGAACACAAATCACAGATCAAAAGTTTAAACTGAGAGAATGTATCATTTTAACGGAAAAATCTGTTGTTTCCAAATTTCATGGCAGCAACAAATCCCAAAAAAGTTGGGACAAGTCCATTTTTCCCACTGTGTGGCATCCCCCCTTCTTCTT